ATAAACAATAAACTCAAGAAACGCTTTCTGTTGCGAAAGCCCAACGTGTGTGAAGTGAGCGAACAGTTCTTGGCGTTGAGCAGATCCCTGTCGGCCTACAAGTCCTACAGCGGGTACTGTTGTCTGGCTGTCGCTCGTTGTGAGCACTCGATGGCCAACACATCCGCCGAATCGCAGGCACTCCTCGACTCCGCCAGACTTCTGCGCGATGGACACCAACTGAACGGTGCGATCAGCGCCTATAGACACGCCCTCCGAGTGGCCGACAAATGCATTCAGACATCAATTTATGCCGAATTGGCGAATATGTATAAAAGACACGACAGGTATCTGGAGGCCAGCCATGCCTTCATCGAAGCCGACCTCTTCAAAGAGGCCATCGATTGCTACCTGAGTTGCGGTGAGTGGGAGAAGGCGTTGGAGCTCTTCTCGCGAGTGGACACCAACCAGATGTGTGAATCAGATTTGGTGACACTATTCCTACTGAAGCTATACCTCAATGACGCCAATAAATATGAATTCAATTTACCGATCATTGAATGCAATCCACAAAACGATGAGCTCATGGACACAAACATTATGTTAGAGTCGCTGCTAATCTCCTGCGTTTGGTTCACGCTCCTGGTGTTGGTCTACAGGCTGAGCTAACGGCGAGTCGAGAAGGGCTTTGAGTTACCTGTAGTTTTGGTTAACGAAATAGAGTATGAGTGGCTCTTTACGCTCATTAAGTCCACAAATGTGATGCCTTTCACACAAATCCTATTTATTGTACGCAATGTTTGTTATAAATATTATGTAAATGTTGTCTTTATTTTGTAAATTAAATTCATTGTAAAATATTTGAAATCTTGTAATTCATTTCAGATATTCTTTACAATAGATCTGTGAGTTTGTGATAATTCTTAAGTTATCATATATTATATCGTATTCATTGCAAAATTGTGGTTAAATAAATCAGTTGTCATAAATACTATACAAAACTATTTATACATAATTTTCACTGTTTACAGTGTTTAGTAATTAAATCATGAAAATTAAAGTATCCCAAATCTATTTAAAGTTTTCAACTGTTTCTTAAATTATTTCTATTGAATGCAATTCAAGAATATTCTATGCATTGGTGTCAACATTAGTTGCCGTCATTTATGCAAAAATGATTACATTTTGAGAGAGCGTTCGATAAGATTACTGTGAGTGGGAATGAATGGGAATATTGCTGTGAATTGCCATTCAGTACAACACGAGTGTATGGATTGTGCGGAACATTGTCTCCAATTGTAGGCAATATCGAGACCTAAGAGTCCGGCAAACAGTCACACATTGTGATCGTCACGTCATCTCTTCATAAGTCTTGAGCCGATTGTCTCATTGCAGACCTGTTTGTGGACACAAATCTCGATTACAAGACACACCAAAAGGTAAATGAAAAGCCATTGACTGATTGATTGTGACAACTGATGGTCTCATTGATGTGTTTCAAGCGCGAAGACATGGCAAATGTAGTGCAAGTGATGGTCCGCTTCTACGAGGAATACTCGGCGAAGACATCGCAGCGNTCCGCTTCTACGAGGAATACTCGGCGAAGACATCGCAGCGCCTGAAGCTAATCGACGCCTACCTGTTGTACATCCTGTTGACGGGAGTGATCCAGTTCTTGTACTGCTGTCTTGTGGGCACATTTCCGTTCAACGCATTCCTCTCGGGCTTCATATCGACGGTCGCGTCGTTCGTGTTGGGCGTCTGTCTTCGGCTGCAAATCAATCCGCAAAACAAATACGAGTTCCGAGAACTGAGTCAAGAGAGGGCTTTCGCTGACTTTATCTTCGCTCACATTGTCCTCCATTTGGTGGTCATTAACTTCATTGGTTGAGCGCATCCACAGACTCACCAAACAAACACTTTTATTAATTATTTAATTGTTTTCTATTATTATATTATAATTACATTTCAAATAAAAGCACTTCTTTTGCCACATTTGTTTGCATTGATTTGCGATCATTTCTTAAGCTCTTTGTGTAGCATATTATCACCGAAATACCACTTCCATTACCAGTGACTACTCATACTCGTGCTGACCATCGCGTACCGCAGACCTCACCTCGACTTAGGCCAGACTCACCTCAAGAGCATTCAGTCGCTGATACCGACCATCCATTTGGTGAATCTGATCGGCTATGCGATGTTACTTACGAATCCCGGATCAGTTGGACTCTCCTTAAACTCGTTAAACTATTAGTTCACTAAAAGTTTGATTTAATTATAATGTGATTTGTATTTGTAATATACAGTTGGAAATATGCGTTTATGTATTGCCAACTGAACCGCTAATTGTGTTAATTTTAATCCCATTTAAACAACTTTTTATTAATAAAAACATCGATTATAAAGATTTCGAGTTTTTAAAATTCATTTTTCCTATGATTTGCATTGAAATCGCATTAATTATAGAAAAATAGCAATCATTTAATGAAAAGGCATTCAATTCTTCAAGAATTTCAATCCGTTGAATAAATAATGATTAGTAATTGAAGTAATAATTTGACGAGAATTTAAAGTTATAATAATTATTTAGTTAAATTTTATCTATAGTTTAGTTTGCATTTCTATCATTTTATTTTATGTCTACTTATAAGAATAATTTATTCTATTATTACATTAAAAATAATGTATTCAATAATTGGTTAACATTTTTATTGTTTTATTCAATGCACAGAATATTCCTTACAAAACAACATTTATGAAACTTATGGTACAGAATATGAACATCAAAAGTAATTTGACGTCACTTTCAATGTGTTTCACATTCAGTGAATTTTAAACATTTTTACATTTTATAAGTTCTTGTTTTGAATGTTATTTAGTCTACAATTTGTTGTATTCATGAATTCAAAGTTTACGTGAAATTCTAATCCAATTAATGTCTTATTTCATGTATATTTTGCTATAAGTTATGTTAAGTTTCTTTATTTTTAAACTCTATATTTATTACACATTTATAAAATTCACATTCACCTGTTATTATACTATAAGTTTAAGAATTTATAAAATGTTGATTGTTATTTGAGATATTACAAGTCAAACATTTACATCAATATCTCTATCAACTGAATATTAGTATTAAAGGTTAAGGTTTAAAACTAAAAGTTTTTAGATTCTGAGTTCATTTGTGAACAACGAGTTATTCATAATTTATATTAAGACACAGTTGTTTCAGTTTTGTATTCAATTTAATTATTGTATTAAAATGTGTGATTTAAAAAATCTGTTGATTGCTTTAATTGTGTCCATAATTGGCGTCAATTGCTTCGACGACAACGATATTGAGTCGTGTATGAAGAGTAAACATCATAAGGGAAGGCCCGGCAAAGAAGATAGTCTTCACGACCAGGTCTTATAATCTTTGATATTACAGTACTTTGAATTAAAAATTAATAAAATTTAATTTTATATTATAATTTAAATAAATAAAATAACCCATATAATACAGTATATAATTATATAATTATTATTAACTTATATGAAGTGCAAGGGATGGGAGAAGTATTCGTGCTGTACTAAGGAGTCGACCATTGGAGCCCATAATGAGATCAATCACTATAACTTCAACTACAACCACTGTCCTGGACACAAAATGAGCGACAAATGCAGAGAGCATTTCACTCAAGACTTGTGTTTCTTTGACTGCGACCCATACCTGAAGCCGTGGATTGTGAGAGTGAACCGCACTTTTGCCACCGAAAGGGTATTCAAAGTTCCCATTTGTGCGGATGAGTGCATCCCGTGGTGGCACGACTGCAAAGACGACTACACCTGCACTAACAATTGGGCCCTAAATTTCAAATGGATTAACGGCACCAACCATTGTCCCGCAAACTCTCAGTGCCGACCATTTCGTGAAATTTATTCCGAACCCAAAGAATTCTGTGAACAGGTATTCAGATGACATGTTTACGAGTTAGACATTAGTTTAACTTATTTGTCATAAACACAGGTATGGGACCACTCGTGGAAATACACCGAAGATAAGCCATGTATGAAAATGCAGTTCGGAAGGGGTGGAGATAACCCTAATAAACAGACGGCTATACTATATGCCACTAAAGCATTCAGGGCCACCACCAGTGCCGCCGACTCTATGTACGCAACGATTAGTATTTTATTATTTATGACAATTCAGTTGTTTTTGTTTTAATTTATACACTCAACACAGAAATCTCAAATTGTTTTATTAAAAATAGTTTTTATATATAAATTACAAATTATAATCCAATCATAAAAGCTGTTAAACGGTTGAGACATTTAATTTAAATCCTATTAAAAAAATAAAATTGATTTTAATTCAAGTGATAAACAGATTAAATGACAAAATACTCACTTCTTAACCACTTGCACGACATCCTCGTCATTGAGGACGTGATCTTTGCCCACCTTTTGTGGGTTGTGTTTGACAGATGTGCCCCAAACCAGTGCACTGGAAGGTAATGCCAAACAATTACACCACTGTACGGGAAGTAAGGGAACACCTATTTTGAACTCACTATTTAAACTCCTTCATTATAGTCCGGTGCAGTTTATTACAGAAGTCCTCCACAGACTTCTTCTCGATGTTCAGAATGACGGGCGACTCGTAATCAGGTAACTGTCCCTTCGGTTTAGTATAACTGTTTGGGACAAACAATCTATTAGTATATCAATTGCACCATAAGTTCATCAATGCATACATTCGCTGAAGTTTAAGGTAATCCCATGTCTTGTATCTAAGATAAGAGAAAATCAGAAATTAATAAAAGAATCCGACAATAGATCCGATGAGACATACAGTAAGTCATCGAAGTTCCACTTATGATGGGCCGAAATGGGGACGCAATGAGGGATCCGGTAGATGATGTCCAGCTCTTCAATGGAGATCTGATCGATTTTGTTGAGGATATAAAGACATGGCGTATAGATCCGGTTGCCTTCGATCACATCGATGAGGTCATCGGTGGTGGCGTCGAATCGGACGAAGACATCAGCGTTATGGATGCGATACTCGGACAGAATGGTCTTAACGGTGTCTAAATCGAGTTCCGACTGCTGTACCATACACTGCAAATTGATGCCTCCCTTGTCTTTCCTGCGGACCGTCAGCGCCGGCGGCTCTTTGTTGAGCCGCAGTCCGAAGCCCTCCAACTCCTTCTCGAGGAGCTTCTTGTGCTGCAACGGCTTCAACACATCCAACACGATGTAAATCAAACTACAAGTTCGCGCCACAGCTATCACTTGACGACCTCTTCCTTTGCCATCTTTGGCGCCCTCTATAATCCCCGGCAGATCCAGGAGTTGGATCTTCGCGCCCTTGTATTTGATTACTCCGGGAACTAAACACACAAACAGATACTTCATTAGCCACACGAATGCACAGACAATCCGTGGTAACCAACCGGTGGTGAGTGTCGTAAACTCATAAGCGGCGACCTCTGAGTAGACACCGGCCAAAGTGGTCAGAAGTGTCGACTTGCCCACCGATGGGAAGCCCACGAAACCGATGCGGGCGTCGCCAGTCTTGGCCACATCGAAGCCCTCCCCTGTGGCCCCTCCGCCGCCTTTGGGTGTAATGAGTTCTCGTCGCAGTTTAGCCAACCGTGCCTTCAGGAGCCCCAAGTGACCCATCGTTGCCTTATTCCTCTGCGTCCGAGCCATCTGTCCCACAAACACACCAATCAATCGCTGCGAACATGTCATCCACACATACCTCGGCCTCAATTGTCGCGATTTTCTCCAAAGTAGTCATCGTTTGGATTCAATTGAGTGGCACTTCTTGTGGTATACTATTGGATAACAAACACACGTTTCGATCGCAGACTCCACACAACACTCACAAACACACGAGTCGTTCATAAATGATGTTATTTTGAAGGGAAGGCAGGGGTTGGGGAACAGACAACACGTGTTGTCGTGAATGCATAGCAATGACTGCAATGAGTGGCAAAAGGGGACCAAATGTTGGCAATAATATCGTAGTAATCGATGAATGACTCAAAACTAACACCAAATATATCGTGAAATCAGTCTTTGATTCAATTGAAGACCATTTGAACAGATTTGGGACCCAATGGGAGATACGGAGGACATTAAGCCCGTGATTGAGGGGATCCCCAGAGGTCTGATCCCCAGAGAACGGGGCTCATCGAGACTGCCATCACTTCGAAGGGATCCGCACTCATCGATGTCTTCAATGATACCGCCGAACATGACGTCCAACTCGACGACACCCAACCTCACCACCAAAGGAGGGGCTCTTAAGAGGACTTTCAAGCCTACGATACCTCAGAGACGGAACCAGAATGAAGACAATGCAGACGTGAAGCCAAGCACTGATAATCGCGGCACTAGTCGAAGGGGGAGACCACCGAAGAATAGCTCACATAATAGTAGATCCAAAGGCAATGACTCGAAGAATTGGATACAAACAGAGGGCGCGGTCTTCAGGGGTGAAGACAACCCTCAGCTGCGGTCGAGTCGAATGAGAGAAGAGTCGTCCACAAGAAGTCGTCTGTCGAATGGAAACGACTTCAAGATTAAGAGCGAAGACAATAGTGACGAGAAAGGGATCAAAACGAAGATTGAGAGCAAAGCGATGATAATCCGCAAACTCTATGGCGATAACTTCATCGACGACAACGACTCCCACACATCCGATAAACACATCCTTTACCCGAAGGGATGGCAGACTGTGAGCACTCGACACCACCCGTACTCCGCACCGACTGCTGAGCCCTTAAACGCCTATAATTTACTCAAAACTGAATCTCAAGATAAGTTGATATTAATGCAGATATCGGAGGAATTCCTGAAGAGAGGCGATGGATATGTCGGCAAAATGCGAGTCTATAAGAGCGGACGCATTGAATTGCATGACTCCGAGTCGGACATCAAGTTTGATATGATTTTCGACCGAAACTCGATTTCGACTCAAAGTATTAAACAAGAAAACGAAAACCGATTAACAAAACAGACGACTGAAAACAGTTACGAAGACATCAGCGAAGATGTGGTGACTTTTAGTGGCAATAGTTTGTGTGTTTTGTCACAATTAGCGCACAAACAGGTGATGCTTGCCGTACCACACCTGCCATCCGATCACGTCTTATGATACTCTCATTGTTTGTCTCATTTGTAGAAAAACTTATTTAAATGAGATGTTCATAATTATAACATAATTTTTTTATATAAACTGAATGTAAATTAAATTTTAATTTTAGAGTCATTTAAAATGTGATAAATTTTCTATTCATTGATATTGCAGTGGAAAGGGGGACCGATCGCTATTATTACATAAAAGTACACTAAATTTACTTTCATATAAAAATATCTCATGTCATAAATAAATGTAATCAATTTAAATTTAATAAATGCAACTTTTAAATACTGTATAAGAGTTTAATGATTACATGCAGTAAAGTCATAACAAAAGTTTTTCACTTTCATTGCAGTGATTATAAAGTTGTAAGAATATACGGTATAGTCACTATAATCACGAATAATACGGTTTAGTAATTAAAATGATTGTATTATTTGAAAGAATATGGAAAAGCGATCTAAAACTTACAGAATATTCTATAATTTTAAATCAAAACTTTACACAAAAGACTTATTTCTTGAAAATGTTTGGAAAGACTTTTTGCAAACAATAGAAACATGGTAATCATAAAAACTATTATTTCAACCAATTCTCAGTCGACGACTGATCACGAGATCAGACATCCACTCACTTATGGTTCAGTATTTCATGTGTTTCCGTGTCTCACATCTCAAGAGTACTTCCAATCAACGAATACTAACCACTCTTTTCTATTCCCTTCTCAACAGACATGCGATTGGTTTGAGGTATTGCTTAAGAAGTGATAACTCGATGATATGGCTCGACTAAGACCTTAGATTACTGGTGGGGTGATCAGTGCTGACCAGATATCTCATCTGTGGTGCCATTGGTGTGAAGACAACGAGTTCTGGAGGAATGCTGAAAAATTCATAAAAATTTGTAATAAAAACCTTTTCTTACGTCATTAATGTATAATCACTGTATAGGCGAAAGTCTTTTTGTGTACACAACTCAATGGAAACGCGTGCATAAAAAGGCCATAACCTGAATGCCATTACATAAAATTTGTAATAAAAACCTTTTCTTACGTCATTAATGTATAATCACTGTATAGGCGAAAGTCTTTTTGTGTACACAACTCAATGGAAACGCGTGCATAAAAAGGCCATAACCTGAATGCCATTACATTTTATTGTGGCGTTTGTTTGTCGTGCAAAGCAGTGCTGTTTTGCCATCAAAACTAAATTGCAGTTTAAATCCAATTGTAATTCAATTCATGCATTGATTTTCAAATTCAATTCACTTTTCGGTGAGTCTTTTGCATAGAGTTTACGACAATTGCTGTCATTTTCGGTATCTTTTCTGATCACAACTTTTCTGGACATTTGCGGCGTTTTTCGGCACTTTAGCCACAATTTGGCGACAATTGTGTGTGAATTGAGTGCTAATCGGCATATGATATGACATTGTGGTGAAGCACTTAAGACACAGAAGTACCGCAATCCGTGGCCACGATGTCTGTGCCGCCGTATATTCTGCAGCAGCAGTATATGATGGGTCTTATGGGCCAACAAATGCCGCCACCGATGGGTCAGCCAATGGGCCCACCGATGGGACAGCCTATCGGTCAGCCAATGGGCCCGCCGATGATGGGCCAACACATGCAGCCCATAGGCATGGGTGGGGCGCCGCCCATGGGGTCGACCGCGCAATCGTCGGCCACCGCTTCCGGCAGTAACTTCTTGAGCGAAGACGAGCTCAAGGAGAAGGCGAAGAAGTGGCAACAGTTGCAGACCAAACGGTACGCCGAGAAGCGGAAGTTCGGGTTCATTGAGGCCCAGAAGGAGGAGATGCCTCCGGAACACCTCCGCAAGATTATCAGAGACCACGGGGACATGACCTCCAAGAAGTACCGGCACGACAAACGCGTCTATTTGGGAGCCCTTAAGTATATGCCGCACGCAGTCCTCAAACTCATGGAGAATATGCCGATGCCTTGGGAGCAGATCCGCGACGTGTCGGTGCTCTACCACATCACGGGTGCCATCACTTTCGTGAATGAGATCCCGTGGGTCATCGAACCGGTATATATCGCTCAGTGGGGGTCGATGTGGATAATGATGAGGCGCGAGAAGAGGGATCGGCGGCACTTCAAACGCATGCGATTCCCGCCCTTCGATGACGAGGAGCCTCCCCTCGACTACGCGGACAATGTGCTCGACGTCGAGCCCCTCGAAGCCATTCAAATGGAGTTGGATGACGAAGAGGACAGTCATGTGTTGAAGTGGTTCTACGATCACAAGCCTTTAGTGGACACGAAGTACGTGAACGGCACGTCATACCGGCGCTGGTACCTAACGCTCCCCCAATTGGCGACTCTCTACCGATTGGCCAATCAGTTGTTGACTGATTTGGTTGACAGCAACTACTTCTATCTCTTTGATCTCAAGTCATTCTTTACGGCCAAAGCGTTAAATATGGCGATTCCGGGCGGACCTAAGTTCGAGCCATTGATTAAAGACATAAATCCCGGCGACGAAGACTGGAATGAATTCAATGACATCAACAAAATCATTATCCGTCAACCGATTCGTACTGAATATCGCATTGCGTTCCCATATCTGTACAACAATTTACCACATTTTGTACACCTCTCGTGGTATGTATTGATTGCTTGTTTAACTATCTATTACTTTAAACACAATTACAGTAATTATTGTTTTTGCAAAACCACTGCAAATATTACGGTAATAATAATTGCTGTAATTATTGTGTGATATTGAGTCGTGTGAAGCGTATTGACTGTTGACTCGAGTTTCTAGTTAATAGTCGCTGAGATTACACATATTAATAGACTGCATACCTGTGCCCCATAGGTATCACGCGCCCAACGTTGTGTTCATCAAAACGGAAGACCCGGATTTGCCGGCATTTTATTTCGATCCCCTCGTGAACCCTATCTCTCAAAGCCGGACGACCAACAAGACTGTTGAGCCCATACCTAATGATGATGAGGACGACCAGGCGTTCGTTTTGCCTGAATATGTGGAGCCCTTAATGAGCGGTTGTCCCCTATATTCCGATCACACGGCCAACGGAATCGCATTGCTTTGGGCGCCGCGTCCTTACAATTTGCGATCCGACAGAACCCGCAGAGCTATTGACGTGCCGTTAGTGAAGAGCTGGTACAGCGAGCACTGTCCGCCCCAAATGCCCGTCAAAGTGAGGGTTTCCTATCAGAAGCTATTGAAGTATTTCGTGTTGAATGCACTCAAACACAGACCTCCGAAGCCGCAGAAGAAGCGCTATTTGTTCCGTTCGTTCAAATCGACAAAATTCTTTCAGTCGACAACTCTTGATTGGGTGGAAGCGGGCCTTCAGGTGTGCCGTCAGGGCTATAATATGCTGAACCTATTGATTCACCGCAAGAATCTTAATTACCTTCACTTGGATTACAACTTCAATCTAAAACCCGTCAAAACGCTGACCACTAAAGAGCGAAAGAAGTCTCGCTTCGGGAATGCGTTTCACTTGTGTCGCGAAATCCTGCGTTTGACAAAACTTGTGGTCGACTCTCACGTTCAGTACCGACTCAATAATGTGGACGCCTTTCAATTGGCTGATGGGCTCCAGTATGTGTTCGCACACGTCGGACAGTTGACGGGAATGTATCGATACAAATACAAACTCATGCGACAAATCCGTATGTGTAAAGACCTGAAACACTTGATTTACTACCGGTTCAACACCGGACCCGTTGGTAAAGGACCCGGATGTGGCTTTTGGGCGCCCGGTTGGAGAGTTTGGCTATTTTTTATGCGCGGAATCACTCCATTGCTGGAGAGATGGTTAGGAAATCTGTTGTCCCGTCAGTTCGAGGGACGACACTCTAAAGGTGTTGCCAAAACGGTGACCAAACAGCGAGTGGAAAGTCATTTTGATTTGGAACTGAGAGCTTCGGTAATGCACGACATAATCGATATGATGCCCGAAGGCATCAAACAAAATAAGGCGCGGACTATCCTCCAGCACTTGAGTGAGGCCTGGCGTTGTTGGAAGGCTAACATCCCGTGGAAAGTGCCCGATCGGTAATGCACGACATAATCGATATGATGCCCGAAGGCATCAAACAAAATAAGGCGCGGACTATCCTCCAGCACTTGAGTGAGGCCTGGCGTTGCTGGAAGGCTAACATCCCGTGGAAAGTGCCCGGACTTCCCATTCCTATCGAGAATATGATCTTAAGATTCGTGAAGATGAAGGCCGACTGGTGGGCCAACACCGCCCACTATAACCGCGAACGTATCAGAAGGGGAGCCACTGTTGACAAGACTGTCTGCAAGAAGAATTTGGGTCGACTCACGCGTCTGTACCTCAAAGCAGAACAGGAAAGACAACACAATTACCTGAAGGACGGACCGTATATTAGTGCCGAGGAAGCGGTTGCTATCTATACAACGACTGTCCATTGGCTCGAAAGCCGACGCTTTTCGCCGATACCGTTCCCCCCGCTGTCCTACAAACACGACACCAAACTGTTGATATTGGCGTTGGAACGACTCAAAGAGGCCTATAGTGTGAAGAGCCGTCTGAATCAGTCGCAGCGCGAAGAACTCGGTCTTATAGAGCAGGCCTACGACAACCCACACGAAGCCCTCTCACGTATTAAACGTCATCTTTTGACTCAACGGGCTTTCCGTGAAGTGAGCATTGAATTCATGGACTTATACTCCCATCTGATTCCCGTCTACGACGTCGAGCCCCTCGAGAAGATAACCGACGCTTATTTGGATCAATATCTTTGGTACGAAGCGGACAAACGCCATCTGTTCCCACAATGGCTCAAACCGGCCGATTCGGAACCGCCGCCGCTTTTGGTGTATAAGTGGTGCCAAGGAATCAACAATTTAGAGGACGTTTGGGACACAAACGAAAGGGAATGTAATGTAATGCTTGAGTCACGCTATGAGAAACTCTACGAAAAGATTGATTTAACACTTCTTAATCGATTGCTTCGACTTATCGTTGACCACAATATCGCCGATTATATGACCGCAAAGAACAATATTGTCATCAATTATAAGGACATGAATCACACCAACTCTTACGGAATCATTAGAGGTCTTCAGTTCTCTTCATTTATTGTTCAATACTATGGATTAGTATTGGATTTACTTGTGTTGGGTCTGCAGAGAGCCAGTGAAATGGTTGGTCCGCCGCAACTGCCCAACGATTTCCTTACCTATCAAGACGTGGCCACAGAAGCCTCGCATCCCATTCGTCTTTACTCTCGATATATCGACAGATTTCACATATTCTTCAGGTTTACGGCCGAAGAGGCGCGAGATTTAATACAGAGATATCTGACGGAACATCCGGACCCTAACAACGAGAATATCGTGGGCTATAATAACAAGAAGTGTTGGCCAAGAGATGCCAGAATGCGTCTAATGAAACACGACGTGAACTTAGGGCGCGCCGTCTTCTGGGACATTAAGAACCGTTTGCCCCGATCTGTGACTACCATTCAGTGGGAGAACAGCTTCGTCTGCGTCTACAGCAAAGACAATCCCAACCTATTGTTCAATATGTGTGGCTTCGAGTGCAGAATTCTCCCCAAATGTCGTATGACTCACGAGGAGTTCACACACAAAGACGGCGTTTGGAATCTCCAGAACGAAGTGACCAAAGAGAGGACCGCCCAGTGCTTCCTCCGAGTCGACGACGAGTCAATGCAACGCTTCCACAACAGAGTCCGACAAATACTGATGGCTTCCGGTTCGACAACATTCACCAAAATTGTCAACAAATGGAACACAGCTTTGATTGGTTTAATGACTTATTATCGCGAGGCTGTCGTCAACACTCAGGAGCTGTTGGATCTGTTAGTGAAGTGCGAAAACAAAATCCAAACTCGAATTAAGATCGGTTTGAACTCCAAGATGCCGTCCCGTTTTCCTCCCGTTGTCTTCTATACACCCAAAGAGTTGGGAGGATTGGGAATGTTATCCATGGGTCACGTACTCATCCCTCAGTCAGATCTTCGGTGGTCTAAGCAGACAGACGTCGGAATAACGCACTTCCGGTCGGGTATGTCGCACGACGAGGATCAGGTGATACCCAATCTGTACCGATATATCCAGCCCTGGGAGACGGAGTTCATTGATTCGCAGAGAGTTTGGGCCGAATATGCGCTCAAACGACAGGAAGCATTGGCTCAGAACAGACGCCTGACATTAGAAGACTTGGAGGACAGTTGGGATCGAGGAATACCCCGAATTAATACTCTGTTCCAGAAGGACAGACACACGTTAGCCTACGATAAGGGCTGGAGAGTGCGCACAGACTTCAAACAGTATCAGGTGCTGAAGCAGAACCCGTTTTGGTGGACACATCAGAGACACGACGGAAAGCTCTGGAATCTAAACAATTACAGAACAGATATGATTCAAGCGCTGGGAGGCGTGGAAGGCATTCTGGAGCACACGCTCTTCAAAGGCACGTATTTCCCCACTTGGGAGGGACTCTTCTGGGAGAAGGCCAGCGGTTTCGAGGAGTCGATGAAATACAAGAAGTTGACAAACGCTCAGCGCTCGGGTCTCAACCAAATCCCGAACCGTCGGTTTACGCTGTGGTGGTCGCCCACCATCAACAGGGCTAACGTTTACGTGGGATTTCAAGTGCAACTCGATTTGACCGGCATTTTCATGCACGGAAAGATCCCGACCCTCAAGATATCGTTGATTCAGATATTCAGGGCTCACTTGTGGCAGAAGATCCACGAGAGCGTTGTCATGGATTTGTGTCAAGTGTTTGATCAGGAATTGGATGCCTTGGAGATCGAGACCGTCCAGAAGGAGACGATTCATCCGCGAAAGTCATACAAAATGAACAGTTCGTGCGCTGATATACTGCTGTTCGCCGCTTACAAGTGGAATGTCTCCCGACCTTCACTTCTGGCCGACTCTAAGGACGTGATGGACGGCACCACTACTCAGAAGTACTGGATTGACGTTCAGTTGCGTTGGGGTGACTACGACTCGCACGACGTCGAGCGCTACGCCAGAGCCAAGTTCCTCGACTACACCACCGACAACATGAGTATCTATCCCTCGCCTACCGGTGTACTCATAGCCATAGATTTGGCGTACAATCTGCACTCGGCGTACGGCAATTGGTTCCCCGGCGCTAAGCCTCTCATACAACAGGCGATGGCGAAGATTATGAAAGCAAATCCCGCTCTCTATGTACTGAGAGAGCGCATAAGGAAAGGTCTTCAGTTGTATTCCTCAGAGCCGACCGAACCTTATCTCTCGTCTCAAAATTACGGCGAATTGTTCTCAAATCAAATCATTTGGTTCGTCGACGACACGAATGTATATCGTGTGACGATTCACAAGACTTTTGAGGGAAATTTGACGACAAAACCCATTAACGGCGCTATTTTCATATTCAACCCGAGAACCGGACAGTTGTTCCTTAAGATAATCCACACGAGTGTGTGGGCCGGACAGAAGCGTTTAGGTCAGTTGGCGAAGTGGAAGACCGCCGAAGAAGTGGCCGCTTTGATCAGATCGTTGCCCGTCGAGGAACAGCCCAAACAAATCATTGTCACCCGTAAAGGAATGTTGGATCCCTTGGAGGTATGGTTTCTGTTTCAGTTATTTTGCTTTCATTTCTATATATTTATCGCACAAATGCTTTTATCAACGAATTTATTAATTCAATAGATTTGTTAGCATTTGTGCCACAATTAACTTCCATCTCATAGTACTGTAATATTTCAATGATATTTGTCATTGTATTCGATGTGTTATGGTTTCCCAGATGCGAGACATTCATTGTGTTATTTGTGCACATTTTTAGGTCCATTTACTCGACTTCCCCAATATTGTCATCAAAGGCAGTGAACTTCAGCTGCCATTCCAGGCGTGTCTCAAAGTGGAGAAATTCGGTGATCTTATACTGAAAGCAACCGAACCACAGATGGTTTTGTTTAATCTGTACGACGATTGGCTCAAAACCATCTCCTCTTACACGGCGTTCTCGAGACTTATTCTCATCTTAAGAGCTCTTCACGTGAATAACGAGAGAACAAAAGTAGTGCTAAAACCGGACAAAACGACGATCACTGAACCGCACCACATATGGCCGAGTCTTACCGATGAGGAATGGATTAAAGTGGAGGTTCAGCTGAAGGATCTAATTCTCGCGGATTACGGCAAGAAGAACAACGTGAACGTGGCGTCACTGACGCAGTCGGAGATCCGGGACATAATCCTGGGAATGGAGATCTCGGCGCCGTCTGCACAGAGACAACAAATCGCCGAAATCGAGAAACAGACCAAAGAGCAGTCGCAGCTGACGGCCACCACTACTCGCACTGTCAACAAACACGGCGACGAAATCATCACATCCACGACCAGTAACTACGAGACCCAGACGTTCGCCTCGAAGACCGAGTGGAGGATTCGCGCCATTTCTGCCACTAATCTTCATTTGAGAACAAATCATATTTACGTGTCTTCGGATGACATCAAAGAAACCGGATTTACATATATTTTGCCCAAAAATGTGCTCAAAAAGTTCATTATTATATCGGACTTAAGGACACAAATCGCCGGATATTTGTTTGGTGTGAGTCCTGCGGACAACCCTCAGGTCAAAGAGATCCGATGTATAGTAATGCCCCCGCAATGGGGTACTCATCAAACGGTGCATTTGCCTAATGTGTTGCCACAACACGAATATCTCAACGATTTGGAGCCCTTGGGATGGATTCACACTCAACCCAACGAATTGCCTCAACTCTCGCCCCAAGACATCACAACACACGCGAAGATGATGGCAGACAACAGCACATGGGATGCCGACAAGACTATTGTCATTACATGCAGTTTCACTCCCGGCTCGTGCTCTCTGACAGCCTATAAACTGACGCCCGGAGGCTATGAGTGGGGCCGACAGAACACCGATCGCGGCAACAATCCTAAGGGCTATTTGCCCTCTCATTACGAAAGGGTTCAAATGCTTCTGTCAGACAGATTCCTCGGCTTCTATATGGTGCCCGCACAGGGATCTTGGAATTACAACTTCATGGGTATGTCTCTCTCTCTCTC